AGAGAGAGAGAGAGAGAGAGAGAGAGAGAGAGAGAGAGAGAGAGAGAGAGAGAGAGAGAGAGAGAGAGGTTGCGTCGGTCAGTTGCCTCCACCATGAATGAACCAGCTGTCATATTTGTTTTTGTGATCGAAGCCGCAACAGGTCATCTAGTAGGTTTGGAAACCCGGAAACTAGGCAGGTCAGGATGCATCTGGATATGCAGATGCCGAGGTGCATGGTGACCAGGCTACTTCGGCCCTTTCGAATATACACAGTCTACTTTTGCATTTCACTGCAGGCTGAACAACAGTCAGATGCTGGTCGGTTTTCTTTTAAAATGACAATAACAACAACAACAGTCGACCCCAAGCAAGGACAGTCATGATGTATTATGTTTTGTATATTGGTATGTACGGTATTATGTATATGTATTGTCATGGAGAACTGCCAGTTGAACCGCAGGCACAGAGTGAGAAGAGGACAATAGACAAGGGGCTGTGACAGACTGTTTCTTTGGAGTTTCACCGGCTGATCAGGAGGCTGAACCCTCTAGAGTCTATAGAGGCCCCTAACCGGTGATACTGCAACTGATAACCCGTCTTAACCCCAGTTGCGGTTAAGCATGAACGACTGCCTGACAACTGATACCCTTAGGTGGGCACCAACCACTGTCCTCAAGGTACCTGTGACAAAAACAAAGCAGAGTATCACTTGCCCACACAAGACTGAAAACCTTACAGACAGCAGGTTCACCCCCATCATAGCCAGCATATATATATATATATATATATTCACATTTTCAATCGGCCGTTGTATATGCCATCAGATTTCCTTGCAATGGCCCTACAGCTTGATGTTGATCTCGCCAATCTCGCTGATCCCCCCGACCTACACCCAGAGCATCGTAATTACACCAGGGAAAGAGGTTTTACCATTGCTGTCCTAGAAATAGCGATGAGGAACCGCCAGCTTGAACTACGCCATGCTCTACCATCCCACATCTCTGCCTGCATTGTGCACGGGCCTGGGCATTACATGGCTATTGTACATGCCTCTGACCATTGGGAGGTGTGGAACGACGGTGTCATGGTCCATGCCATGATTGCTATTACTGATTTCTTATTCTATGATGCTGTTCTCTTGCCACATCAAACTGTCCACAATCTCCTTTATGTCGAAGATCATTCCTCTGCCATCGCAGTGCAGCAGTACAATGTACACACACTATGTGACCTTCTCCTGTGTACAGCCACAGACACTGTTGCACTTGGGTGTACTCGTTAT